TGGGTGCTGGAATAGAGAGCTTCCCAGGCAGGTCTGCAGGCGACCCCAAACCAGCACGTGCTGGGGGACAGACGCGGCCTCCAGCAGGATCCCCACAGAGTGAGGCTGGGCTGGAGCCAGCGGGGTGAAGTGCAAGGCTGACAAATGCAGGGTGCTGCAGCTTGGCGAGAAGAAAGAAAAGCACAGACACGGATGGGAGGTGCGTGGTGCGGCGGAGAAGGATCCTGGGGTCGCATGATCACAGAAAAGTCAGGCTAGAAGCACCTCTGCGGGTCATCCGGTCATGGCAGGATCATCCCAAAAAGTCCTTGTCTAACCCGGGAGTGACCAGCTGTGCTACAAGTGGCACTGGCAGTCTCTGTGCGCAGTGCATGGGAGATGGACGGGACAGGCAGCAGATGGTGTAAGGGAGCAGAAAGCAGAGCATCGTATTGGGCAGGGAGCCGATGGTAGAGCAGCAGATCAGGCTGGGAACACAGGGCAGGGAGCAGGAAGTGGAGCGGCAGATCGGGCAGGGGAGAGGTTCGGAGTGGCACTTGGGGTGGGTGCAAGACTTCCTTTGTGGTCCCCCCACCAGGAAACCTGGCCTGTTCCTAAAGCTCCGCCAACGGGCCCGTGCCACGCAGCTCCCAGGCCCGTTGTCCCGACACCAAAAGCACCGTGACCTGTGACAGGTGAAGCAGGAGTGCTGGGAGCACCCTGCTGCTGCAAGGGGTGTCAAAATGTGCTCGAGAGACTCAAGGAAGAGGCCGTGCCCCTGCTACAGAGGAAGGCAAAACCCCACATCCGTCCCTCTGACCACGAGGCTGGGTGCTGCAAGTTCACGCCATGGCTGCGCGTCCCGCTCCCTGCAGCGATAGGGAAAGGTGCTCTCCTGGCCTCTGGCAGCCCTCGGGGGCATGCGGGCCGCTGTCCTGTCCCTTCACAAACCGTCTTTCCTGCACGCTGACCGTACTTAGTTGGTTCTCAACCTCTCCCAAAAACGAGGAGCCCTGAGCTGCTCGCAGTCCTCTAGATGTGTGCTGGGCACGGAGACGGCGTCGCTTCCCGTGTCCTGTTGATGCAGCCTGGAACCACGTTCGGCGTTTTGCTGCTGTGCCGCGTTGCAGATTCACGTGGAGTCTGTGACCCGCCGGGAGGATGTGAAAGTGATGGGAAGCTTGGGAGGAAGCAGACACGAGGGGAAGTCACGATCCCAAGACGGGGAAGCGGGAAGTCAGCAGAACTGACGTGTAAGGTTGCCAAAAGGCAGATTTCACCCAACTCCAGGAGTCCGTGGGCAGGTGCCAGGGGGCGACCCACGGAGGAATTGGCCCAGGCGGGCTGGGCACTTCCAGAGGGCCTGGTGCTGGGCGATAACAGAAGAGATGGTCAGAGAGCTGCTGATGATGGGAGACGGGCCATGTAACCGAGGACTGGAAAAGGGCCAACGTAGCGTCCCTCTAAACAAGGGAGAAAGGACCCGGGGGAGCTGCAGACCGGGTAGCCTCACCTCCGTACCTGGGAAGTTACTGGAGCAGATCCTAAGGAAGACCATGTGCAAGCGCCTGGAGGAGGAAGGGCTGATCGCAAGCACCAGCAGGGATTATGAAACACATCATGGGAAGCCCGATCTCCTTCTTTGGCAAAGTGCGTGCCTGGCTGGACAAAGGGAATGCTGCGGGTGTTGTATCTGGACGGCAGCAAGGCTTGTGCCGAGGCCCCACGTGATCTCCTTTCTCATAAACAAATTGGAGACGTGTGGCTGGATAAACTACCACGAGGCGGGGGGAAACCTGGCTCAATAGCCCAAGCAAAGGGTAATTATTAACGGGTCCGCGTCACAATGGCAGGAGGGTTCGAGGGGAGTCCCACAGGGGCTGTTCCGGGCCCGGCGCTGGGCCTGGCGCTGTCTTGGACGCTGGCAGAGGAAGCTTCTTGAGCAAGTTTGCGGATGACAAAACTGAGAAGGATTGTGAACAGCCTGGAGGATGTGAGCACAGTTCAGAGGGATCTCGACAGACGGGAAAGCCGGGCTGGAGCAACAGGACGAAGCTCAGTACGGACAAACGCAAGGTGCTGCGCACGGGAGAAATAATCAAACACCGCTACGAACGGGGGGACGCCCGGCCGGGTGGCAGCGCTGTGGCAAAGGACCTGGGGGTCCCGGTAGAGCATGGACTCGACGGGGTCGGCAGTGTGTGCAGCCGCACAAAAGGCGGATGCAGTTTTGGGCTGTGTCAATAGACGCGTGAGGCACAGGACAGGAGGTGATGGTCAGGAACCTGCGCAGCTCCGGGCCCTGCGTTTGGAGAGGATGTGGAGAAGTTTCTAGAGGCAGCAACACACGTGATCACGGCTTGGAAAGCAGTCACATGCGGAGAGGCTGAAGGAGCCGGGCGTGTTCAGCTTGCAGAAAAGGCACTTTGGAGGGGCCGTGGCAGCAGCGCGCAGACACGTGAAGGGCTGCCCTGAACGGGAGGAAGAACCGCTGGTTTTTGGAACGGTTCTTCGCTGTCAGAGCGGGGAGGCCGCGGGAGAGACACCCGGGGAGGCTGCGGACTCTCTACTGGGGGTGTCGAGGAGCGGCTGGGCAACCGCCGGGCAGGCATGATGAGGCATGGCGATGCCTGGAGCGAGCTGTGACGAGCGACACGCACCCAGGCGGCTGGATCAGACCTCAGCGTGGAGCGGGTGGACGCTGGAGGGACCGTGCTCAGCACCAGCCGAGCAAAGCACAGCCCCACACCGGGGGAAGCAGCTGGGCCAGGCCGGGGGGCGTTTAATGCCCTTCCGGGCTCCCGGCTGTGCTGCCCCATGGGGCCGCGCGGGGCTTTTCCCGCTCCTGGTCCAGGGGCTTGGGGCCTTCCCGAAGTTCGGTGCTGGGGGCTGGGCGTGGGGACGGGCTCGGCCAAAGCCCGCGGGTCCGGCGAGCATCTCGCCCCGCGCTCAGGCTCAGGGCGACGCTGCAGTGGGGGCAGGAAGGCGTTTGAGATCGGCACCGACGGGGGTTCCCCTCCGGGGCCGCAGCTCTAGCGGGGGCAGGGG